GCAGAGCGGCCTGGCTTCTTTCCCATGGACATCCAGGCAGTGGGGTGGCTCAGGCAGCAGGCGGGGGCCCTGGGGACCACCGCTAGGGGAATGGCCTGCTCGTCGCCTCGGGTGCCGGTGCTGACACTGGTGAGAGCAGACGGGACCTCAGCAAGGGAACCGCACAGGGCATGCGGAATCTCGCACCTAGGAGAGAGCACATCTCGGGGCACGGAGGGCTGGCTTGAGGGCATGGCAAAGACCTGTCCCTGCCCCTTGTGGGGCCCCAGGGGAAAAGTCTCAGGACACAGGCACTCAGAGCCACCCTAGGTGGGGAGGAGACCCCCTGGGGTGCCGTGTTAACCACCTTCAGCTACCTTTCCCTCCCCGTATTGCTGTTGCAGGGTTCCAGGGTGGGTGGGGGGTGCACAGTGTGGTCTCTGTCTCACAGAGCTGATGGCCTGGAATCTTTTCAGGCCCCTCAGCCAGTGCACAGTCATAGCCACTTAGGCCTGGAAGGACCAGCGCAACCCTTGGGGTTGGGGGTGGGGCAGTGATGTGCTCCCAGAATCCTTGTACCCTGCAGTCAGGCTGGGTCTTCGAATCGGTCCCTCTGGTCCACCCCAGGGTTTGGAGGCAGAGTAAGTGGACTGAAACACCTTCATCCCCACCCACCCTGCTTTTAGCCTTGCAAACATTCTCCACTTCTGGCCACCGGGGGCCTGGGGAGAGAAGGGGAGGACCAGGGGAAGGCGGTTGACTAGCTACGGAGAAAACGCGTCCTTTGTATCACTGCTGGGTGGCGCTCACGTGGCCAAGGGTGCTAGTGATGTCTCAGAACCAGACGTTCTCAAGCCAAAGGATGCATCAGGTCACCCAGAGGACTCACCCCCAGAGCGTCACCTCTGCAGGTGCTGGGCGGAGAACCTGGCGTTCCTAACAAGTTCCCAGGTGATGCTGGCACTGCTGGCCCCTGGACCCACCCTCTGAGGACCGCTGCTTCAGACCACCCCACCAAGGACGCTTGGCCACCTTCCTTTGTATGCGCATCAACCCTCAGCATCCCCAGGATGTCTGGCGGGAGCCCAGCCCATTCGCTGCGCAAGTGCAGACCGCGAATGCGCCTCTTCTGCCGTGCCTTCTTGGGGCGCCTGCTCTGCCCTCTGTGTGGGTCTGTGACCCTGCTGGGAGACCAGGTGCCTGGGTCATCTTCCTGGAAGGGAGCAGATTAGGTTCCCAGCCCCGTCTTCTGTGTGCCTTGGGAGAGTTCGGCTCCGTTCTCATCGCCCCCACTTTCTAGTGTAGCACAAGGGTCCCGCCCTGCCTGTCCTGCAGCCTCCCGTGTGCCCCCTTCCCCTCCTGCTTCCGCCCCTGAGACACCCCGTGCAAGTGCCACTAGTAATTCCAGGCGGCCCAGTAGGGGGCGAGACGGGCTTCTGGAACCGGCTGGCCCATGGATACAGGTCGCCACAATATTCTAGAAACTGAGAAGTTGCCTTAACCTACTGCATATAGAGAACTTACTGTGTCTTTGTGAACGTGGCCCTGTCCTTAGCTGGCCTCTGTGTAAGCCTGGCCTCACCTGCTGGGAGGCACGACAATAAAGGACTTGTATCTAGAACTACCTTCTGTTGCTTTTTTCCTGCTCTGCAGGGAAATCTCAGATCATCATTTCATCAGATGTCTTTCAAGCCGCTGTACGTGCTGGAGCAGACATTAGTCATGGGGAGGAGGAGAGGAAGGGGGAGCCCTGTTAGGAAACCCACTGACCACACTGACTGGGGTCCTGCCTACCCTTTTTCTTGGTCTGGTTCCCACCTGTTCTTTGTTTGAACAGACCTTGCCTCGCCTATACACGTGCCGTTCTGCAGGCAAGAGCCAGGCTCCAACAAGTGGCTTGGACAGCGTTCCTCTGAAAGCTCTCTGCCGGTGGCCAGCCGGTGTCCTTGCACCACTCACCACGATGCACGAACGGCTCTGTTTGTGCACCTGCCATTTGCATGTCCTGCTGCGGGCATCACCCGGGGCTGGCTGCCGTAGAGGCTGCGTGTGGTGCGGGGTAGGGGGCAAGGGGCCCCCAGCGGCTGGCCCTCAGGCTCCCGGCTGAGTGTCAGAAGCCAAGACACACACTCTTAACCGCTACCCGGACCCCCAGCCCATCTCACTCCAGAGTGACTGTGTTTCTGCACCTGGACCAGCGAATTCGTCCCCATCCCCAAATCCAGAGTGGGACCCTTTTTCCTCCAAATGCAAAAAGACTTCAATCTTAGTATTCAGGGGAGTGGAGGGCATCAGGTTGCCCAGTGTGGAGCCACAGGCCAATGCTTTGATGACACAAACCATTCATTCGATCTCATCCACTCATCTGTCTAGGAAACTTCGTGGGGTGGGTAAGAGGGCCAGCCTGAACAGTCCCTGGGAAAGCTGGGGGTCCCAAGATGGTGAGACTGGGGTGGGTTGGGGAAGCAGATGGGAAGTGAGCCTCTGACCTGGGGAGAAGTTGGAAGGGCCTGCTCCCTTGCTATGTAAGCAGACTTCGTCTGCAGGCCTGGTCAGCTCTCATGGGTTTCCCCGGCACCCTGGGTCAAGATCATTCCCTGAACAGCTGCAGCATCAGCCCTCTGGTGGCTTGCATATTAGACAGGGAATGGACCCCGCCCAGGACCCATGCAAGGTCACCTATGTTGTTGGACCCAGACATCTGGTCTCCTCCAGCACCACTGTGAGTGTGCGTGCATGTGCACATGCGTGGAAGAACACGAGGGTGCCTGGGAGGGACAAGCTTCCGTCTGGGCTCCCGCCTCCTGCACAGCACAGTGGGTGAGTGTCAGTGCCATCTAGAAAGGCTCTGGTAGCCAGTAGGGGACTCGGGTAGGTGGGCAGCAGCAAGGTCTGTGAAGTTTTCCACCAGCTGGCCCTGTCCTGTCCACAGCTACTGCTTCCCAGCAGGTGCCAATGCCTCATGTCAGCCCCAATGCCAAGCTGTCATGTCACCACAAGGTGGGCTCACTTTGAGCTGGGACCCTGTTTCCTACTCCCTCTCCCCAACTGAGAATAGAGAGACGGTCATTGGGGGTGGAGGAGACACAGGGTCCAAAAGCCTAGATCATTCCATTACCTTCTTCTTAAAGCAAATACATGAGAACCCCTTACTTCCCTTTCCTCCTGCTTCTGTCTTCGGGCTGAAACCCAATGGAACAAGGACTGAGCACAAAGGAGAGGGGGCTGTGAGGAACCCGGACCTGGGAGGATCCTTTGGATCAAGCCAGGGGTGAAGAGGGCGGTGAGGAAAGCTTCCATCTGACCCTTGCCATCAGCAAGGTGCCAACAACGTCACTGCACTGAGGACTTGTCCAGGGCAGCCAGAGCTATGAGGGCTATGTTCCCATTAGCCTGGGCACCCGTGAAGAGGTTCTGAGCAATTTCCACTGGACTTCTAAAACACTGAAAGCAGCTCATGAGTCCCTACTTGCGGTTTAGAGAACCCCCAAGTTGGGGATTAGGTCAAATTTGATGTGTCTCCCTGAGTTGCCAACCTGTAATAAGAAGGCCGAGTCTTTTCAGGAACTGGTGTCCCTTTCCAGAGAAGAGACGTGTATTGGGAATACGCTGGGATCCCAGGAATTCCGGTGGGAGCGTCAGTGGGAGGTTCAAGGAGGGAAGCAAAGGGCAAGGAGGTTCCTGAGGCCACGGAGTGACGGCTCCGGTCCGCCTTGCCCACATGGATCAGCTCCGCTCAGCATGCTGGGCGAGGCTAGGTCTTAGAACTCCGCAGCCACCAGAAGGAAAATCTCTGAGCCACAGGCTCAACCCACCCAGATCAGCCACAGACCACTGTGCAGCCCTGCTCTAGGGGGTCCCCGCCCTGCTCTGCGTGACGGGCCAGCCAGGGAAAGCAGCGCCTACCATTTGCCCGGCCTGGCTCTCGCTGCCCCGCAGTCTGGACGGGCACAGCAGGGACATTCCACAGGCAGCTCCCGAGAGCCTGGGCCCCAGCAAGCCCTGCGGCATGGGGTTCTGCTTTTTGTTAGCTTAAGGAGCCAGGGCAGTCCGTCTCCACTGCTGTCATTAAACTCAGCAAAACCGCGGCAGCTCAATCAATCGCCTTCTCCTCTTTGCTGAGCGCGCTAGAAGGGCCACTGCGATGCCGCTACGTCTGCGTCCAAAGTGTCGGTCACTTAATCTGACTTCCCTCTTGTTTCTTCGGAGTCTTCAGTGCTGCTCCTGGGCCATTCCAGAGCAAAACGGAGGCATGGGGTGGGGGGAGTTTGCCCACCACCCTGAGCCTCCACATCCCGGTTCCATAACTCACTACCACCCCCCCAGGTACCGACTTCCCTTTCCAGATTACTTCCCAAGGTAGAGTGGCCCCCTGGCTGAAAGCTAGGGACCCAGGAGGCCACTCTACCTTGGGGTTCCACCTCTTGTCTGGTGACTCCTGACCTGCTGTTCCCGTGCCTTCTTTGATACTGTCTCAGGGCCCCCACCTAAGAGAGCACAGCCTCGGCCAAGTTATGCTGTAAGTTCTCGCCACTCCTGGAAGACATTCAGGCCCAAATGGACCCCAGGAACGTCAGAGGGACTGGGGAGAGTTTGTACCTAAAACCGATGGCCCCTGCCCCTCAGGGAAGCCATGAATGACATACTCCTTGCCCCTCCCCCAACACACTTGTGGACCTTCCTGCAAGCCGGGCAGCGTGTGACCAGTGACAGACACCAAGAGGGGAGCTGACCTCTCCTGCTGAGAGCTTGGGCCTCTGGGACTGGTCCCCGGACAGGCCTGCACTCAGTCACCGGGCAAAGGGGCACCCCGGAGGGGACTGAGCCCCACTGTGCCCAGCAGGCCTGGAACCTGGGCCTGAGAAGGGGAGAGAAAGTCCTTGCTGTGGGGTATCCTGAGCAAATAGTAGGGCCAGTGCCTGACCCGCGTCTGTGTCCCACCACAAGTCCAGACACCATTGTGGCCACACGAACGCAAACACCCCACCAGGAGACCGCCTGTTTGTGCTTTTGACACGTTATCAGTTTTTATTTAAAAACATGCTAAAAACATGGTGTTCAAGAAAGCCAGGACCAGGATGAAGGGAGCGCACAGATAGGGCATCTCAAGCAGGAAAGTGCATCTGAACCCAGCAAGCGAGCTGGGCCGGCTCTCCCTCCCTCCAGCTCCCCACGCTCCCTGCTCCCCTGTGGGCGTGAGCCCCCAGCTCTAGCCCTCAGGGGCCCGGAAGGGACCAGGCTTCATGGAGGTGCACAGGAGCGAGATGGGAGGCCAGGGCCCTGGGAAGCCGGATGCGGGAGGGTGGAGGGACAAAGGGGGGCTCCAGGCACCCAGCTCCCGCCCTACACCAGGGCCCTGCTAGCTAGCACCTCCACCAGTGTGGGTGGGCAGGGGGCTGCAGAGGCGGAGACAGTCATTTCCAGCCACCTGGACTGCTTTGGGGCCACCAAAGCAAGGAGGGATGGCCACCTGGGTCCACGTGACACCATAACATCCGTGTGGGGGTCTGGGGTGGGGTCAGCCACCTCCCTGGGGTGAAAGCCCCAGATGCAGGCCCATGCTGGTGGAGAGAGGGGGTGACTATGCTCCAGCTGGGGCGTGGAGGTGGAGACGGGCCCCCGACACCTGCGCCAGCAACCCCCAAGGGTAATTCTCAGTCCCTGTTCGCCCACGTCCTCTGGAAGATGGCTGCAGGAAAAGGCCTAGTTTCTGGCCCGCACTCCCTTGAAGCTGGCTATAGAACCTTGACCTTCTGTCGAATCTGTAACCTGCCTGCATCAGAGCTGACTGAACTCACTTGGACTTTGGCAAGGGAACCCCCAAGTGAGAGGGTTCGTTCAGGGAACCCTGCCCCAACGAGATCACAGTCGGGAGAAACGGAGAAGGCCACCACACAGACATCATGCAACGTTGCCTTCCGTGGGCTGTGTCCCACCCTGCGGGAAGGACCGGGGGCTTGGGAGAGCACCCCTCGAGACTCGTGCCTTCCAGCCAGCGGCGACTTAGTTGAATGCCTACACAGCCCCACATGGGGTGAGGCTGAAAGGCAGTCTGGGGACTCTGGATGAAGAAGACAGACAGGTGAGGGGTGGGAAGGGGCACTGGAGGGGAGAAGGGGACTACAGCCAAGGCTCTGGGGCCAGAGGACAACCCTGAAGCTCCAGAAACGTAAGATTGCCCGGGAGGCTATACACCTTCCCTGCACGCAGGTGTTAGGATTTTGCTGTGGATTTGAACAAAAACTGAAATTGCACTGATAGGCATGAACGAACCGACCCCGTCCCACCCCACCCCCAAGCACACAGTCCTTATGCACCGCGTCCCACCCAGCGACTCCGGGGCTTGTTTGCCAGTCTGTCCGGTCCGCGGTGGCGTGGTGGCATGTCTGCCCTGAGCCCTGCGGCAGGGAGGCCCCAGGGTTACAGCTGTGTCTCCTAACCAGGAACATGGCAGCACCGGAAGACCTGGGAGGCAGTCGGGCTCACATGTGTGCTTGCCCCATCCTCCACCCAAGGACCCACCTCCCTACCTTCCCCAGGGACACCTCTGCGCCTGTCTCGGGGTGGGGGGGGGTGGTCTTTACTCTGCCTGACTCATTGAGACCACCTTACTCTCCGCACCCCAACCCCCAAAATCCGGAATCCTGAACACACCAAAAGTTCTGTACTTCTGGTCCTGATTGCATTTTACTTAGGCGAGTGGAGGCGTTGCTGGCTGCGGGAGGTGGGGGGGGGCGGGGGCAGGCCTCAGCTTTTGGAAAAGACAGGTGGAGGTTGGAGAGGAGACGTGGGTTTGGTGGGAAATTGAGGGACCGAACCAAATGGTGCAGGAAAGAGGCAGCTGCCCCACTCGAGGCCCCATCCAGGAAGGCCGCCAACCCTAGCTGGCTAGTGGACAGCCTTTTTGAGCTCTGTTGTGTGAATTCTTGACTTTATTTTTTTCAAAACTACAAAACACTCCCTCAGGCCAGCGTTAAGTCCTATGGGGGCCCCAGTGGCAATCAGACCCCCTACCCTGCCTGTTCAGCTCAGGCTGTTTGCTTCCTCCTACAGCTGTAGCAAGACCCAGTATGACTTCTCTGGGCTTCTCCCGGGGGCCCTGGAGGACATGACTACCACCACTCTGCCATCAGTGAACTCCAAGGAAGAGAATGGGGGTCCTGGGGCCCCATGGCCATCTTCCCCCTACCCCTTCAGCAGGGACTCTGCTGCCCAGTGAATGTGGCTGGAATGATCGAGGGCCCCAGCTCTGCCTTCCCCTTCTGATGGTCAAGGGTCCTCTGCCCCTGTCTGAGCAGCAAAACATAAGGACCGCTTCCCCTTCCAGAAGCAATGTGAGAAAGTGAGCAGCATTTGAACTAGAGAGGTATTTGTCCGAGAGTTTCTAGCAGGAATGTCTGTGAAAGTAACCGGGGTTTGCAGAACCTGTCGCGGGAATGCCCACATGGGGCGGAAGGGGGAGCCTCCCTCTCCAGCAGAGGGCAGGAGGAAGGAAGAAGGGAAACAAGAAAGACTGCTCATCCATGAAGAATAAGGACCCACAAGAGCCCTGGCCACGTTCCTGGTAAAGCACTGCACCAGCCCCCGAGAGGACCCCTAAATGCCCTGGCCACAGGCGCTGGCATCAGCAAACGCCTCAACCCTGCACAGGTTGCCCCTCCTCGCATGTGCCTCTCCCAGGCCCCTGGGACACTGACGCCAGGCCCCCACCGCCCCGCCCACCGTCCCTCCTGCTCAGCACATCCTGAGCCTGGCCCCCGCGTGCCTCACCACAGGGCCTCCTGAGCGTGGCACAGCGGTTTGTCCTGACTGAAACCTGATGGACATCCTCTCTCCCCACCTGTCCCCTACCCTCAAGGAAAAAAAAAAAAAAAATCAAACCATTACAGAAATCAACACAGTAAAAAGTTACAAATCAGAAAGCTAACCCTAAACTTATCTGAGAGATAATACTCCTGAATAATCATAATCAGAGTAAAATAAAATAAAAAAGTTACACTGTAAGGTATAAAAGGCCTGGGCAAGATGCTCCCAGGGGCCTCGCCCAGAGGCAGTCAGACCCCGCCCCTGCAAGCTCTCGCCCTGGGGGTGGCCGTGGACGCCAGTGGCCTCCACTACGCAGTCTCTCCACCAGCAGGGAGCTCTCTGCCCCCCACCCCCACGGGGACAAAGTGGCAGGGTGAGGAAGGGCAGGGGCAGAAACACATCCGTGCTGGGGGGCTCCAGGAGCACGAACCCGGCCCGCCCTGTCTTCTTTGGCAAATACACAGATGCGGGAATCCAGGCGCCTCCAGCACCCCAAGGTCTGTGTGCGCCTCCTCCACGCCTCCTCCTCCCTGGCCCTCCACCCACCAAGAAGGCTGAGGCGGGGTGGGCTGGGGGCGGGCGGGCTGGGGAGGTGGGTGCAGGGGTCAGCAGTCTGGAGAGCGCGGGCAGGCGATACAAAGCTCAAATCTTCTTCCCGGGCACAGTGTCCATGTCGGCGGGCCAGGGTGTTCCCAGCCAGCCGGCTCAGGCGTCGTACTTCTTACCAGTCCGGTGGATGTGCTGGAAGAGGGTCATGGAGAAGGCCATGCCCAGAATCTGAAAGACATGGGGAGAGGGCCTGGAACGGGAGCCCGCAGCGGGGGTCTGCCACACGGCACCCGGAATGAGCGGGGACGACCACCTGTGGGCCTGAGGACTGCCAGCAGGAGGCTGTGCACCCAGGAGCTCAGCCCCTCAGAGCCGCCAGCACAGAATGTCACACACTTCTCAGAGGCTCGGAAATGGGGCTACTGCCAAGGGCTGTGGTGAGGACCAGACACACAAAGGACGTGTCCTAAGTGGTAGCTACCAAGGAACTGAGGCGGCAGACGGGAAGGTGGCAAGAACAATAAGGCTGTGCCGAGTCGCTGGCGCTCCCAGTGTCGGGGCCTAACTGGAGGAGACCCTAGCTGGTCTGGCTCCAGGCATGGTCACAGGCAGCGGAGGGGCACCCTGGTCCCAGTGCTGAACGGAGGCTTGCCCCCGTGCGCACACGTCCTCTCAGAGCACCGCGAGGACGGCAGCGGGCTCGTCTGCTGAGCCTGAAGGCTCTTCCATAAATCGGACATGGTCAGACCTGCAGGCCCGAGAGCTGAGAGCAAGAAAGATCACTTCCTGCAGGTGGGCCACTTCGCACGGCTGGCCAGCTGAGTTCCAGGCTCCGAGGGGAATCCGGCACTGAAGACTCCTGCTTGGAGGAGCCATTCAGAAATGGCTAGAGCCATACAGGGGAGGGAACCAGGAAAGGCTCGTCCCAGAAAGGTCAGGGGGTTCTGGCCCCCCTCCAGCCACAGTGGCCTCTCTTCAGGAAGGGAGGCAGGTTCTCCCTCCTTGTTCCTCTCGAGCGTCTGGGCTGGAGCTCTTCCCAGCCGCCTGGCCCTGCTCGACCACTGAATGTGAAGAGGCGGTATGATGACCGTGCCCATTACACTGAAGTGGACACTAAGGCAAAGAAGCAAGGCAGCCCGCCCAGCTCCTGCACATCTCACAGGCAACACGGCCAGGAAGGCTGCCCATGGGGCACCAGCCTGTGCTCAGACCTGTTACCTGGGGACACCACTTTCAGGAGGGCAGGCATGTTCTCATGCAAACCCACCCAGGGCTTTCGTGCAACTCTGACACCAGGCCCAAGACTCGGAGGGAATGCAGAGGAAGCTGGGCCCCGCTGTGCCTGCTGGCTTGGGACAGGCAGTGAATGGGAAGGCCTCTCGATGCAGCAGGGCAGGAACATGCAAGGAGGGTACAGGGAGTATGTGTAGGGGTGTGTGTGGGGGAGTGTAGGATGGGTGTGTGGGAGGATGCATGTAGGGGTGTGTGGGGGGAGTGTGGGGTGCGTGTAGGGATGTGGGGGGGAGTGGGAGTGTGTGCGGGGGGTGCATAGGGTGCATGGGGTGTGAGTGTAGGGGAGTGGGGTGTGCGTGCAGGGGTGTGGGGGGTGTGGGGGGCGTGGGGCTCGGCTCCAGCCCACCCTCTTACCTGCATGATAAGGATGCACATCCCCACCGTGCCGAGCACGTGCTTGTTGTCATCAAACCACATCTTCACTTTTTCATAGCAGCCCTGGGGAGCAGGGACCGCAGGTTAAGGCAGTGGCAGGACAGGACAGTGACTACCACCCCCTGCCCAGCCCCCACCTCACTTCCCCTCCTGCCCCTGCCCTTGCCCTTTCCTCCTGTCCCTCCCTGTCCCTCAGCCCTCATCCTCCCGCCCTGGAGCTGGCCCCCCCCCTCCCCACCCCGGGTTCCACCTACAAGGCCACACTGCACACCCTCAGACCCCCTTCAACCCCTACCTTCTGACACTCCCAGCTGTGGGTCCAACCCCCTGCCCAAAGGCCCACCTGCCTTTCGGCTTCAGTCCTGTGTGTCCCCAACCCCACCTCTGTGTCCCCAACCCCACCTCTGTTAAGCCAACTTCTTGGAGTCCCCAGTGCCCCCCGCCCCGGGTGTCCTCTGGCCACACCGTCCTGCACCCAGGCTTCTGGGAGGAGGCCCCGAGGCAGCGGTGTCCAGCCTCACCGTTCTCCACAGAGGGGTGGTGGTGTTGCGCCCGCAGCCCTGGGAGTTCTCCATGCAGCAGCGGTCAGGAACCATGTTCTCCCCCAGCACTGGGTACCAGTCCGTATAGTCGGTGACACCACAGCAGCGCATCTGGGGGTGCGAGCCCATGGGTCAGGTGCCCGCAGCCCGCTGTCCCCCTCTGTGCCTTCCCATCCCCCCAAGCCAACCTACAAACGCTGCCTCTCTGCAGGTCAGCAGAGGAGAAAAGAGCATCCCTCTCGCCCTAAAAGGGAAGCCACAGCCCCTCCCTGGAGGCCAGAGCACAGAGAAGGTGACGCCCACCTGCCTCTCTGAGCTGGGCAACGACCCCCCCCCCCCCCGGACCAGGAGCGCTCAGCCCTCTGTTCACCCGCCCCACCCTACCTGCTCTGCGTTGGGGACAGTCCCAAGCCAGCTGCTGCCCCCACCCCCCATTCCAGGGCTTGCTATGGAGCTCTGGGCTGCACGGACTTGTTTTCCTCTTAGAACAGGGACCTCCTTGCCTAACCCACGATCAGGGAGGCATCCCTGTTGCTGAAATAAAGAGGATCTGTCCTCCCTAGTTCCCTATGCCCATTTAAGGCACGCACTCCTGTGTCCAGATCCCGCTCACCCTCCTTCACTCCCCTGCTGCCCCTCTCCAGAGGCATTCCCTGTATGGGGAGCCCCAGCAGCTCTCCCGGCGCCCTGGGTAGTCTGAGGACCCACCCCCTCCTCCCGGCTGGCTCCTCACCTCGGCCTGGATGATGTTCCAGGCGTTTTTCAGCCCCACGTTGTTCTCTGTGTTGTACAGCAGCAGACCCTCTTTCAGGTCCTTCCTGGCGTTCTCATTCACCTGTCAGGTTGAGGGCAGACACCTGAATCCCTCCTCCAAGGGGTCAACACAACTATGCTTGAATGCTCCCAGTAATGGGGAGCTCACTAATGCCAGAGACAGTCCATGGCCAATGATTCAGAGGATTCTATTTCCCAAGTCTACATAGGCAATAAGCCACCCATGCCCCCCCAGATGCCTTCCCCACACTGCCCCCACCAAACCTTTCATTGGGGCCTCTCCTAGCTCCCCTAGTTCTGTTCTCCCTTCTCCCTTCCTCAGAGGTCCTCCTTGTCAGTGCTTCTCCTCTGGCTGGCCCTGTCCCCACCCCACCGCCCATATGCCCCCTCCCCTCTCATAAGGCTCACCTTGTCCATGTAGACAAAGAAGAGAATAAGCAAGATCAGCTCTGCTAGGAGGATGATCAACAGGACGATGAAAAACTGGAAAGAGAAAGCCTAGGTGTGGGCACATCGTAGTGGCCATGGCTGGGGATGGGGTGCACACTAGGATGGCAGGGGGGCAGGGGACAACTGGCCCCTAGACTGGGCTTCCCAGGTGTGGGAGAGGCCAGCTACTTCTGCAGAATCCCAGAGAGGTAAGGGAGGGAGATACAGGAGAGAGCCAATCAAGGAGTGGGAGGGATAAGTAGGGCAGGGATACCCAATCATGAGGATGAGGGGCGTGGTCAGGCAAGGAACACTCTTGAAACAATTTCTGCGGGCTCAGGCTGGGCATCCAGGAAGCTGATGGTTGTCCCAGGCCCTGCCCATCTCAGTGGCTCAAATGCAGGGATATCAAAGTTCGGGGGCTGGAGGGATCTGGGGTCCAACTTACACTGAGGAGGAGGCACTTGTTTTCCTTGATGGCCCCCAGGCAGCCAAGGAAGCCTGTCACCATGACAATGGTGCCGATGGCGATGACTAGGTTGGCTGCAGACAGCGAGGGGAAGCTGGGGGAGAAGGTGGCAAAGTTGCCTTGGGACACGGAGAGCCAAATGCCCACGCCAAGCAGCCCACAGCCACAGAGCTGGAGAGAAAGGAGAGCCGTTAGATCAGCACTGCTTGGGGGTTCATCCCCATGGCCCCAAAGTTTGCAAGGCCCCACGCCCCAACTCTGAGACTGGGAAAGGGGGAGAACAGGGCTACAGGTCAGATAGGGCCATGGGCCTGTGCACATCAGCTGTGAAACCCAGACAAGCCCTGAGCCTCTCCATGTCTCAGTTTTCCTGCCCGGCAAACAGCACGACACAAACCTCCTACAGTCACTCTGGGGATCCGATTTTAAATCACGCTGGGGATCTGATTTTGAAAGACACAGGCAAAATCCTGTAACAACTACAGAGGGTCCCAGACACACACAGGGGGTCACGGTTATTCCACTTGTCAGAGGAGAGGCCCCAGCATTCAAGAGGGAGTCCAGGAGGTGGGGCACAGCGGGCAGGGAAAGAGAGTCAGGACCAGGGGAGTGGGGGGAAGCTCAGAGCCAGACCCCCAGGCACCTGTGTCCTGCTGCCCTGTACACAAGGGCCACAGGCCCGCTGTTCTCAGGAGCCTGAAGAATAGGTTTCCCAAAGATGCAGGAGAAGGGGACCCATCCCGCTGGCTGACACACAGGCCATGCAAACCCATCACTGCCTCAGCCAGCCATCCACGTGAGCCGGAAAACTGGCTCTCTCCATGGCACCCCTGGGGCTGCGACGCCGCTGGCTTCACCTGGGGACACTTCGCTTTCACTGGTTGCAAGTCTCCATAGCTGCCTGATTTTATGCTCCACAGAGCCGCCCCCCCCCCCCCCCCCCCCCCCCCGCCCCGGCAGCTCCGAGGAGGTATGCGGAGTCTGAGGAGCCCATCCATCAGCCAGCCCATCCCTGCAGCCTGCTGCCTCCTGAGCCAGAAGAGCTACAACCTCTTCAGAGCCCTGCCTTCCTGGGACTCTGCTCTGGCCGGTAACGTCGTTTGGAGGAGGCAATTAGTCCCCAAAGGACGGGCGGACTGGGGGCAGGTGGGGGACGAGAATGTTCCAGGCAGGGGGAAAGCAGACATGCAAGGACCCGGGGTGCGGGGCACAGACAGGGACCTGACCCCTCAGTTCCAGCCTTTCCTGCTGGTGCGACCTTGCAAACGCCTTGTAGGCCCAAAGAGCATACAATCGCCTGCCTCCAGGATTGCTGTGAGAATTTAAAGGGGAGAAAGCCTGGGAAGTGGGTTGCCAGCACCAGGTGCCGGTCTCAGGAAGGCCCTGACCGAGCAGCTCCTGGGTGCCAGGAGTTACACTGTGACCCCAAAAATCGAGTGCACCCCTGTTCTCAAGCTGCTCTAGGTCCAGAGAGAGACCCCAAAGGACCAGGGAAGACAAGGCAGCCCGTGAGTAGGCAGACAGCGGTTTTCACATGCATGCAGGGAAGGTCGGGGGTGGGGGTGGGGGAGAGGCTGCTCGGAGGCGGCATTTTCTTCCCTCTTTCAGTCCACACACCCAAACTGAGCCCCCATTTAGCAAGTGCCAAGGCCTGTTCTGAGTGCTGGGGGTGGGGGGCAGGAATGAGCAGCACAGGCAAACTGCCCCACCCACTCCAATGAGCAGGCTCTTCTTATAGGGGACATGATGGTCCATAAGCAAACAAGCAACACGATTTCAAGCAGTGCCATGAAGAAAAATAAGGATGGCAAGGAGTTAGAAAGTCTCAGGGGACACAGTAGTCACAGAAGCCCTCTAAGAAAGGTGGCATTTATTATATTAAGGGCCCAAATGAAGGAGGGCACATGGTGGAAGAATGTTCTAGATAGAGGGAACAGCACGTGCAAAAGCCCTGAGTTGGGAAGGAGGCTGGCCCTCCCTGGGAGCGGGAAGCTGCCATGTGGCTGCAAGGAGTGAAGGAGGTGACACATGGTAGGGGACCAGGAGGGGGGTGGCAGGGGACAGGTGGGGTGAGATCTTGCAGGCATCAGTAAAGACGAGGCAAGTGGTGTTCTTAGCATGCTGGGAAGGCTGGAGAGTGACATGATGTATGTTTCCGACAGATCACTCTGGCTGCTGTTCAGGGATGGCCCCCAGGGGAGGGGGCAATGGGGAAAGCCAGGGGAGCCATCAGGAGGCCACGGCAGGGATTAGGCACAGGCTGGTGGTGACCTCTACCAGGCGGCTCTGGAGGACTGGTGAGCAGCAGTACAAGGCAGGCTTGACAGGACTTGCTGGGCTTTAAAAGATGAGTAGGATTTTCACAGATGAAGAACCAGAAAGGTGATGCAGACTGGGGCATGATGAAAGAAGTGGGGGTATTCCATGCATTCCTAAAGCAGAGATGGCTCAAGCAGCCGGGGAGGAGTGGGACTGAGTGGAGCAGCTTCCTGGGTTGCCCACCCACGCTGTGGAGGGTTCCTGTGGCCCCTGTACCCAGGAGCAGTCCCAATGGAACTATGTCAAGGCTCCCAAGGTGTGGGCATCCACCCATTCAACGGGCATCCACAGAGCTTTCCAGGGGGTGGGTGCCACCACCCCTGTGACCACTAGGTGGCGATCCAGGCCGGGTCAGAAGCTCTGAAACAGTCCTCCAACTTCTCACAGGGACTTTTTTCAGTCTGGTCAGTTTCTATACTGCCGTCTCAATTTTTGTTTCATTAATCATACCATGGAAATTCATGATCTTCATGCTGAAGATTTATGGCTCAAAAAGCCAGAGACTGGAATGATTGAGAGGAAAGCCCACGGCTGCCAGGTCACTCCCCAGGGATTGAGGAGCCTGCTAAAGGGACTGGCTTTGGGACCCCTGGAGATGCAGGACACCGCCACTGCCCCGCCATGGGGACTCTGGGGCTCCCAGGACCCGCCCTGGCCCTGGAAAGTTCTCCCGGCACACCTTGCCCCAGAAGCCAGCTCCCACGGGGAGTGGGCTGGGCAGGGGTGCCTCTGTACTGTTCTCCCTCTCCCTCCTGGGGAGAACAGCCATGAGGTCCAAGAGCCTCTAACTGGGAAAACCTTCATGGCTCAGACACTCCCAGGACCTGGTCATCTCTTGCAAAACAGATCTCTGACTTCATGCTCCACATTCTTTGATTTGGTCTACAAGCTTCCCAAACCCCCACCCTGGAGCCTCCTTCCTGCACAGGAGAAGGGCCCGTGGCTCTGGCCCCATTCCTGCTGCCCTCTCACTCCTGGTCTGAGGTCCCACCATGCCCTGGGCTGGGTCCCAGGTGAGCCCTGCTGCCTACAGGTGGGGCAGTGCCCACACACTGCCTGTGCTTCAGTCCTGGGGTGTAGGGGGCTTTGCACACAAAGTCTGCTGAGTGAATGACGCCCCAGCCACGCAAAGGGGGGGGCCTCCTGCAAACCCCACAGCCGCTCTTCCATATCCTCAGGGCTCTCCTGCTGAGATGAAGCCTCTGCTCCCCTCTCAGACCCATGGGCAGACCCCCCAGGCAGGAAGAAAACAATCAGGCCCTAATTTCACAGATAAGGACAGCAACAGGGGACACGCAGCCATCCCACTGCCAGGCTGGACCCACACCTGGATTCCGGGTTTTTGGTGTGGGGCCTCTCCCAGACCCTCGCTCCAGGAGAACTCTGAGTGCACACTGAGCCTGGGCCAACAGGGGGAAGGCACTGCCTCAGCCCCTGCCTCACGCCCAGGTCCCAGCCACGCTCCCCTTCCTGCCTCTGGCCCAGGTCCCAGCCACGCTCCCCTTCCTGCCTCTGGCCTGTTTCTCAGCTCAGCGTGCACGGACGGAGCAGCCTAAATCCTTTTTCCAAGATGCTGCTTTCATCAGGCCGTTGCCCTGTGTGACCTTACAACTCATTAGCTCTCTGAGGCCCAATTTCCTTTAAAATGTGGGCTTTAGACTAGAGAACTTCTTAGGTCCCTGCCAGCAAGGGCTTAGCCAAGCCTGAGACACGATGCCATCGCATCCCTGCCCGGTGGTTCTCAACTCAGGGCGATTTTGCTCCTCTGGGGACATCTGGCAATGTCTGGGGACATTTCTGGTTCACGCAGCTTGGAGTGGGGGGCTCCTGCTGACATCCGAGTGAAGAGAGCCCAAGGTTACCGCCAAACAGCAGTGATGCCCAGAGAGCCCTTGCCACAGAGAACAACCCAGCCCCAAGTGTGGAGAGAAGCCAAGAAACCCTGCCCCAGCCCCAGCCCCATGCCAGGAGCCCACCCCCGGCTACTGCGAGAAGACAGCCATCACAGGAAGAACCCGGTGTGTCCCCTTCCAGGGCTGGAGCAGCATCCTGGTTCTGGAAGGGACAATAAAACGTGAGAGGAGTAAAGAGGTGACAAGACTCCATCTGGGAAGCTGGTGAGAACCAGGACAGGGGCAGGGAAGAGGCCGATGTCTGGTGTGTGGCGATGGGCAAGAGTGAGGAACTGAGGGCAGAACAGGTATGCTGGGCAGGAGGGCAGGAAGACAGGAAGCAGACCTCTGAAGCCAGAGCAAGGGGCTGGGGAGGGTGTAGCGGGAATGGGGGAGGGAAGAGGAGGGAGGAGAGGAGCCCACGTGGAAGGTGCCCCGCATAGGAAGGAGACGAGGCCTGCAGTGGCACAGCCAACACTCAGTGTCAGAGAACTAGCTGGGGGCCTTCGGGAAAATTCCCTTCCAAACCAGAGGGCTGTTTCAGCCAAGAGGACCAAGCCACAGTCAAACCCAAGCCAGGAAGAGACTCTGGGGTGAGGCAGGGTGACTCAGGGAACCAGGATCTAGCCAAGGTTAGCACCAACCGACCCAAGGTCATCAGCCAACATGATACGGCCTAGGCCTGGTTAGCACCCCTCTCCAGCCGGGGAGGACCAGCGACCGTCCTGACTACCCAGCCTTCCTGCTCCCTGCCCCTCGCCCCAACTGAGGGCATTTCTAAGTGTTTTCAATGCCGCACCCCAAATAAATCCACATCCAAATGTGAGAAAACAAGCTCCTACCGTTGCATTTGCCTGAGGCCTTGATCTCCGTGAGGGCAGGGGTTTGGGTCAGTTTCATTCCTTGCTAACTCCCCAAAGCCTAGAACAGAGCCTCATCCCTGGCAATGGCTGCAGGGCT